TTCCAATACCGAAGGATTCTTTGGGTAAAATACTGAATGCTGCAGAAAGCATCAGAAGATGGAAAGAATTCAGTGTCACTGTACCAAAGAGAAACGGTCAATGTACAACCATTTCCAGAGGGAGCATCTGATCCAAAGCCAATGGTACTGAAGGAAGAAGTCCAAGGTGCACTGAAGACACTGGCAAAGAACAGAGCTCTGGGAATTGATGGACTACAAACTGAAATCTTCCAACCAACTCATGTAGGCCTGGAAGCACTCACTCATCAATGCCAAGAAATCTGGATGACAACTACCTGGCCAACTGGTGCTGGCAAAGAATATTAACTCTATTCTATCTGCCAGACGAACAAATAAATTGTGCTACGAGTACAGCCAGAATGCTCCTTAAAAGTCATGAAGGCAAGACTCCACCTCACCAACTTCGGACATGTTTTCAAGAGGGACCAGTCTCTGGAGACAGACATCATGCTTGCTAACGTGGAGGGTCAGTGAAGGAGAGGAAGCCCCTCCAACAAGATGGCTTCAGCACAGTGTAACGATTGTGAGGCTGACACAGGGCCTGGCCGGGTTTCCTTCTGTTGAACATGACGTCACCATGAACTTGGAACTCACTCTACAGCACCTACCTTCAACCATGTTCCCATTAAGAAGACAGCGACACGTAATTGCGGTCATGTTTCACGAATGACTAAATCTGGTGACACATTTTCACTTTCAACCCTAAAGTCTTTGGGAGAGAGCAGATAGCTGCTAGCTTTCAGCCGAACACGCCTTTCTTTTACTTGCTTTCAGTCTACGTTTGTTAAGGAGATTCTCTAAGCTCAGTAACTAAAAACCACTTCAACCATCACCAACCTATGCTACCAGAAATCGGAAAAAAGTGGATGTTGTTATTCCTGTAAAACACAGCTAAGAACGTAGGGGGCCAAGGCCACGAAACTGGATGAATGCAAACAGAATGCCCTGATTGTGAAGAATACGCACTGTGACAAAAGTAACCAATGCTACTGAACCACTTTGTAAAAGTCACTGAATCGGAACCAATGCTGCAGTGTAAACATCCAAAAACTCAACAAAATATTTATTATTAAAAAAGCAAACACACATTTAGTTTTCAGGGCAAAAAACCCACCACGATGTCATTTAAAACTAAGGGAAAGAAAAGTAAGAAACAGATCATTTTCTAGCACAAATACGCCTTTCTCCGTAGTCCTGCACGACAGAAATGCAATTTCTTCAGACTTACTGTGAACTGTAATAACATTTAAGATGGTTCCTGCTTTCAATTTTATTACTGAAATCCCGTTTTCATTTAAAAACAACATTGCATTCATAAGCATCTCTGTCAGCTGAGTGGCAATGCTCCTGATGTTATCAGCGGACTTCCTATCTTTTACTTAGTTGTCTGAGTCACGAGACAATTTTGTGAGAATGTGAGAATGTGAACACCACTCCACCACACGGACTCCACCGCGGTCTGTCCTGCAGTACCTTGGGACCTGGCATGTGTGCTTAGAAACCTGACAATCTGGCAGGCTAGCACTGGGCTGAAGTGTTAGTTCCCCAGAAACAGAGACCGAAATAAAAGTAGAGTGTTATCTGGGAAACATCAAGCTGATAAGAGTAAAGACGTTGTAAAGTAGTGAAAACAGGAAGTGAGCCAGTTTCCTATTTTGAGTGGTACTAGGAAGCTGAGGAATCTCCTGTTTTGCTGAATGAAGACCAAGATGCTACTCAACACCAGTGTGAAGCAGGTACAACAGCAGTCAGGTGTGAGAGAAGGGGTTCCAGATACGGAGCAGGTACACCACCAGGCACAAGATCAGACAGCAATGCTGTAACACACATGAGAGCAGGGCCCAGAGGGGGAACCGCATCACATCTGAGGTGGAGAGTGTGTTGAAATGAATGACGGTCAGACCAGAGAGGGAGGGAGGATCATGAAGGGAGAAAGGCCCAGACAGGCCAGTCACTGAGGACACACGGGGCACACGGGGTGACTCAGCCCTCCCAGGCAGGTCTGTGATGAACATGGCTCCCTGCCATCAGTGCTGAGGGCTGACACGTGACACCTTCCTGCTCAGTGACCTTGGACACAGTAAAGGGCTCTTTCTAAGGGTCCCTCCCTTGGACAAAACAACAACAACATCCACCTCACAGGACTACTGCTGGCCAGTGCTGATGTGGTTTCAGAGGGGAGCAACAGAGACCGGGCGTCCTGTCTGGAGACTGGGCAGAAGCTGCAAGGTCCAACTGCGGACAGAGTCAGAGATGGCTGGGGAAGAGACCTGAGGCATTTTGTGACAAGTATGCCCAGAAACAAGGCTTTTGTGGACATGAGATTTCTGCAGGAAATGAATGACTGCTGGAAGGGGGTGGCAGTGTAAAACGGTCCCATCTTCGGTACACTGACTCTGAGCTAGCAGCAGGCCAGTGAGATGGTTTATGTGAAGCCGAAGTCATCACCATCCAATGCTCCGAGAGAGGATTAGGTGGACTGAGCAGAGGAGCCTTAGAGACTACTCATGGACTGACAGGCAGGGAGGACCAGAAGATGACCACATATCCAAGGAAGCAGACATGGACAGAAAGGGAGAGGCAGAAGAAGAGGACATATCCAAGGAAGCAGAGACACAGGTAGAGAGGTATAAGGAAAACTGGACAAGTGTGGGGCCAGGAAACCAATGGACACGTGCCACCTCAGCTCTTTTCTGTGGGTGATGTTTCTCCATGTCAACCATTAATAAACCACGGGAGATCACCAAGTGTCAAGGAAGAGATAATAAGAAGTGAACAGGCACCACCTCCACCCATCACGTGGGGGATTAACAGGCAATGTGACTTAATGAAAACAAGTGAACTTGCTTGTCCATTTCTGGGCAGAGAAACCAGGACTCCGTCTGAGAGCTGCAGAGCAGACGGTGGAAGGCAGCGGGTCTGGCTCATTACTCTTTTTTCTGAGGACTGTGCTGGTCTGAGAAAGGGACTCCACAGCAGCTCCTGTGAAAACAGAACTGTTTCTCTCTCCCGGCACCAGAGAACACAGTCAAGAGGTAGATACAGATAATGGCCACATATCTGGAAATGAACAATTGCAAAGCAATGGGACGTCTCCATCATTATGTCTCGGGAATTGGGGGGTGGGAGTGGGGGATGCGCAGTGTTCAGGGTACGTCGCAGCTTTCCCTGGGACACATCAGAAGGAAAAAGGAGCTCAAAAAGGCCTCGAATATAGGTGACAGCTCAGCACTCGGGGAACGGAAGCAACACCGCATCTTCAGGACAACCACATGAGAGTGAACACAAGTGGGTAGAGACGATTATGCCCACCTAGTATGGAGCGACGTCATATACTCAGACCAGTCATCAGGAGGGACCAGGCCCTGAAGGACATCTTGCGTGGTAAAGCCGAGGGTCAGCAAGAACGAGAAACGCCCCCCACCCCAACAAGATGGATCAACACAGTAGCTCCACTAATGAGCTCCACCGTAACGAGTGTGAGGATGCAGGAGCGGGCAGGGTTTCCGTCTCCTGTACACGGGGGTTGCTGTGAGTCAGAAGTGACTCGACAGCATGTCATCACAATAACAGGAGCGTGGTGAGGGTTGAACAGGATACTAAAACCTCTCAGGCTGCTGTAAGGACTAATGTTTAAATACCAGAGGATAAACACAGAGTGCCATTGGTAAGAAATGAGTGTTCCCAGAGGGATGGCCCAAGTCAGAGATGGCTAACTCACCAGGGTTTTGACAGCGTGGAGGTTTGTTTGAGTGGCTGTTCCCTAAGCATCTGGGCCTGAGACACGGGGGACACTGAGCAGGAGGGTACCATGTGCAGAGCCACACACAGCTCCTGACCTTGAGGCACATAAGTGAGGCACAACAGCTGTGTGCAAAAGCTCAGATCTGTAAGGCACCAAAGCAGAAGCAGCCCCCGCCCAGCCTGTCCCACTCTGACAGCTCTGCAGGCGACTGCCAGGGTTTCTTGTACTTGGAACTTGTTGGCCACTATCATTTCATGTGAATAATGTGCATGCAATACCACATTTTTTAAACTGACTACGCAGTGCACTTGCACGTGATTTTCGTAAGTCCTCCATGCCAGTTTATTTTCACAGGCTTATTCCGTTAAAGCCTATTTATCAACTTCAGTGAATGGAAACTAATGTACAGTTGTGATCATTGTTTACTTTCTGATTACAGAGGGTGACCAAACTCAATCTATGACTTCTTGACCAGAGCTCAGACCCTTACTATAACATGATCCAAAACAACCTGTGTGGACTATATTTCCACACACAAGGAGGACAGCAGAGACAACGAGAGAATGATATGATGTATATGTGACACGGGAATGCCCAGTGAGTGAGGCTGAAAGTCACTTGGGGAAAAGTCACATGACATACAATACACGTCTGAGCATGTGATTTACAAACAAATATGGCAGTCCTACAGGATCATTTCCATTCTCCTCTTAGAAACATTCCTATACGGCCACCTAGCTGACGAAGTTTTAAATGAATTGTACCCTAAACTGGCTTGGCTGCAGCAAGTCCATCTGGGAAGCATCACACATCTTCTCTTGACAGCTACTAGTTCATCAACTGTGCAGTCCAATATGGTAGCCACCATCCACACTGAGCTACTCCTCTTTAAATGAAACCCTGAGGTCCTTGTCCCACAAGCCATATAGCAAGTGCTCAAAAGACCCATGTGGCTGCTGGCCTCAGAGTCTGACCTCACAGAGGATTTTCCTTACCACAGAACTCCCTACAGGGCAGCGCTGCTTACAAGCAGAGGTTAAGTTCGCTGTGGAGCACTTTCACATTCTGCCCTCTGATAATGAACATCGACACCTGAAATTCTGAATTACTTGTATATAAACAGCACCCTTTGCTAAAGAGAGTTTTGCAACAGACCTACCAGCACAGAGGAAGACACCATCACAAAGACCCCCTCTGCTCGCTCTAGCACCCCATCTTCCAAGCACGGACTCACCTTTGGAGTGTTTTCCTAAAGGCCTCTTGGGGAGCGACTCCTCAGTGGAATGTGCTGATGTATGCAATGCGTTTTCCAAACTATTACTGACACTGTTGATGGCGGCCTCAGTCCTTGGAGTGATCTGAGGGAAGAGAAATAGAACCATGTGATTTCCTTCCAGTCATTTAACAAGGAACAATTTTTAATGCTACATAAAAGCTACTGATGTTTATCTTACTTTCAGTCTTTTTTAAAAAAAAGTGTGTTACTTCTGTAACAACGAGCATTTCCTGTGAACAAAAAGTTCACTAGTTTACTAGTCTCCACCAACCTTTGAAGCAGTTCTAATAACTGCAGCGAAGCTGGGAGTACTCTCTGGCTTGAGTCAGGGATTCATCAGGAGGGGTGGAAACTATGAGGGTGAGTCAGAAATTATCCGCATTCTGGCTCTATTAAAACACCTGATCAAGTCCACGGTTGTGAAATGATTCTGTCGAACAGACAAGTGCCAGTGGATTATGCAGCAAACCATTTGTAAATCAGCCACAGCTCTGCCTATGAAATAATTCTCAACAGACTTGGATACCCAAACAACTTACAGAAGAGCATAAACAGAAGCAAACAAAATTTGGACCGATACTCGAAGTAAGATAAAAGTTTTTCTTTTTAAAAAAATCATTACTGGTGATGAGACATGGATTCTTCACCAAGAGCCCGAGGAGTAAATGGCAGAGTATGGTATGGACTCATCCTGAATCGCCCACCAAGAAAAAGCTCAGAGATCAACCATCAGCTGGAGAATTGAAGCTTATCGTTTTCTGGGATTCTCAAGGGACAGTATTGGGACACTCCCAGGAAAAAGGGTCAATAATCAACAGCATTCATTACAGCGAGATGCTCACTGAAGGAAGAGCTGAAGCCCAAACTTGGGGGTAAACACAGAGGACAGTTATCCAAGGGCATTATGATCTTACCCAACAATGCACGGCCACACACCTCTACCCACACTGTTGACACTCTGTAAAAACTTCCTTTTGAGCTGCTAAAGCAGCCTTCCTACAGTCCTGATCCTGTCCCATAGGACCCTCGAAAGCAGCCCTTGATCGCAAACATTCCCCTCGGATGAGGAAGTGAAGACAGCAGAGTGGATGGTAGCTCTGCCTAAAACACTTTTAATTAAGGGAATAAGGTTTGTTAATAGATGGGAAAAGTGTATTGAAAAGCAAAGCGCTTACGTCAAAAAAGGATGTACCTGTTGTCTTTTCTAAAAGTTGATTAAAATAAAGTCTACAGCCAGAGTGCGGATAACTTCTGACTCGCCTAGTACATCAGCTAGGTTGGTATGAATCATGTACCTCAATATAAGGCAAGACCTTATTCTTATATGCCTTCAAGTCATGTGGTTTCCTGTCAAGGACTCACACACTTTCCTTCTACAAATCGGGCAGGAAATCACAAAACACTGAAAACAATGGTAAGGAGAACAGTATAATGGAAGGGTTTTGGGGTACAGTTTGCCAAAGCTTTTCGACAACAACTCCATTCTCAGGAAGCATCATCCGTGGAAAAGACAAGGGGAAGCTGCTCCCTGAAGCCGATGGGTCTGATGGAGCTACAAGACAGTCACAGTGGTCACACTACACTCACAGAAGTCTGGAGAGTACCCCATGTCTCTAGTTTAAAAACGTGTGTCATCCCCAGAGGCTCAACTTTCAGCAACACAGTAGAACTGCTCCCTAGGGTTTCACAGACTAAATCCTGATGGGAGTAAACAGCCTCATCTTCCTCCCTCGGAGTGGCTGATGAGTTTGAACTGCCAACCTTGTGGTTAGAATCTCAACACTGCACCACCAAATGACAGACAAGCCTACAAAGTCAACACCACCAAGGAGGTACAAACTCCTTAAGACATCAAAAGGGCAGGATCTGCCCAGAGATATTGCTCAGAGGGCAGGAAGTGAGAAGCAAAATGGACAAAGGGAAACAGGAAACAGGGAGGAAGTGGGAGAGTTATTACTGCGCCGCAATCCATGTCACAAAGCCAAATGTCTATGAACTGCTGAATCAAAAGTTTAAAGGAATTAAAAGCAACAAATTCCTGATAAAAAAATAACCGACAAAAGTAAACATCATCAAGTCTATCCTCATGCTTCAGGGTTCAAAATGCACATGTCTGTGTGTAAATAAACTGAAAGGGACCAGAAGCACACAGCCGACTCTGAATAAAGATCAGTATTAGGAAAATCTGTGCCCAAAACATCGATCACTTGGAGAATTTAGAAGATTCAAATCACCAATGCACTGATGTGTTTACGTCCTTCAAAATTTCAAACAATTTAGAGAAACGTGCAAGATCTTAAAGCTTATCAAAGGAAGCATGGGTGTACTTGAGGAAGCTTCAAAAGTTCATGGAAAAATGGGATGGAAAGTTAATGGAATTTTTCCACAAACATTTTGAAGCCCCAGGTATACATGTGTGTTTTAGATATAAAGCCACTACTGTCAAGTGGATTTCGAAAGGTATCAATTTTTACAGAAGCAGACTGCTACATCTGTCTCCTGTGGAACAGCTGGTGGGTTTGAACTGCTGACCTTTCGGTTAGCAGGCAACCTTGTGAATATATATGCAGTCCCTCGGTTATAAACATTAAACTTACAGACTTCTCACAGTTATTTCTAATCTGAGTCCATTCTTATAGCCACTGTGCCAATTCACCACTGGCAGGATCTTCCTCTTTGTCATGGATCCTCTACGTTACCAAAGGCGATGTCCTTTTCCAGGGACTGGTCCCTTCTGACGACATGTCCAAGGTACGGGAGACAAAGTCCTGCCATCCGTAGTTTTAAGGAGTATTCTTGCTGTCCTAATTCCAAAACAGATTTTTCGTTCTTTTAGCAGTCAGTGGTATATTTAATATTCTTTGCCATGATTCAAAGGCATCAACATCTTTAGTGTTCCTTACTTATTGTTAAGCTTTAGCAGCATATGAGGAGAATGGAAAGAGCAGAAGTTGGGTCAGGTGCACCTCAGTCTTCAAAGTGGATCTTTGCTTCTGAAGACTTGATGTGCCCAATGCAATATGTCACTGGATTTCCCGATTGCTGCTCCCACGGGCACTGGCTGAGAATACAAATAAAATGAAATCTTTTCTCTGCTTATTGTGATACTGCTCACTGGTCCAGCTGTGAGGATGTGTTTTCTTTTGTTGCGGTGTGGTCTATACCAACAACGGCTGCCGTCTTTGATCTTCATCAGTACCTGCTTCAAGTCCTCTTCACCTTCAGTAAGGAAGCTGTTAATGAGTCTTCTTCCAATCCTGAAGCTGCATTTCTTCTTCCTATAGTCAAGCTTCTCAGATTCCTCGCTTAGCATACAAACTGAGTCTGGTGAAAGGCTATAACCCTGAGGCACATCTTTTCCTGATTTTAAACCATGCAATATCCTCGTGTGTGTGCTCATGTTCTACAGAAGCACAATGAAGTGTTCTGGAATTTCTCCTTTTCACAATTTGTTATGACCCGCACAGTCTAATGTCTTTGTTCAGCCAACATCCATTTGACATCACCAATCCCTTGTTTCATGTCCTCTTCTGAAATGGTTTTGAATTTCTGAGAGCTCCTTGTTGATGTACTGTTTTTAAATTATCTTCAGGAAAATTTTACTTGAGTGTGAAATTAAGGATATTGTTGAATAATTTCTGCATTCAGTAGGGTCACCTTTCTTTGGAATGGACAAAAATATGGATCTCTTCCAGTCAGCTGGCTAAGTAACTGTCTTCCCAATTTCTTGGCACAGACAAGTCAGCACTTCTAGCGCTGCATCCATTTGAGACAACATTTCAATTGGTATTCTGTCAATTCCTGGAGTCTTGGGTTTTTTTTACTTTCAGCGCAGCCTGGACTTATTTTCCTTCATTACTACCTTCCTTTTTTTTTTTAATTCTCTCTCTCTTTTTAAAGTTTTTATTGTGAATTATGTGATAGTTTACATGGGAGAACACCAGCTTTACATTCATCCTATCGTATTTCATTTCACTGCAATGATTACAATCCCCTCCACGCATCACCAAACAACCAAAGGGGGTACACCCAGCAAAACTGCCCCCTGGCCATCAGCACACAGGCCCTCTCCCTCCCTGAGTCCAGAGTCCACAGCCACTCCATCTCTCCACGTCATTGTCTCTGCCTCCATCCCTGGAATCACTGTTTCTCTGGGTAGGGTCCCGCACTCCGCTCTTCTCACTTGATGGTCCCAGGAACCTTCGCTCCTGGACTGCAAACTCAACCACTCCCTTCCTTTTGCTACAAAAGTCTACCTTTACATTTCCAACCCTCACAGTCAATCAATCCTGATAACAATTATTCACTACTGTACCACAGGAGTTCAATTCCCCATCTTCTTTCATTATTAGTGAAGATTCTACTTTCCCCTGCCCCCTCTGGAACTAGGCTCCCTCTTGGAAGCTAGTAAGGCAGTCACTTCTTGCCTTTGTAGCCCCTCCCATTTGGGGTAGTCAATGTCTAAGTTGCCCATCCCTGTCATGCCTGTGTACCGAAGGGGCGGGAATGATCCTCACTATAAAGATTGGTTCCCTCTTTTGAGCTACTATATCCATAAGTATAAGTCAAATTCATCAAATTATAGCAGATAACTCTTTTTTTCCCTCTTCTTTCTTCTTCTAGTTGAGTTCTGATCATCCAGCCATCAAAGCCAGGTCAAGTGGGAACTATCTGCAAGTATGGGGGTTCTTGTACATCTCCCCTCACTTCATGTCAGCTGCACGCTTCACTCTCCACTCTAGTCCTCTGTGGCCATGTCACTGTCTCTGGGCTCAGGAGTCCCCAGGCCTTGCCATAACTACTGGCCAACCAGGTCTCCACCTGGGTTCACAGGAGTCTACTGAATGAGATTGGACTTAGCTCACAACTTCATTGCTGTTTTTCCCCCTCTTCCCCTCATCGGTGACCAACATGGTCACCAGCCAGACCACATGCCTGCTCGTGTATTCCCCTTGAGTCTTAGTCTTGGAAGGGGGGTTGCTGTGAAGGGACCTGGCTAACAGCTTGCTTGTTCTTGTAGCAGTCAGTGAGACTGCCATTATTGTTTGTGATGTTTCCTGCCCGTCTTTCTTTCACAAAGTATCTTCTCGTCTTCTAGCCACTCCAGGCTGGTCTACTTGTCATTTCAATGGGAAATTTCCCACCTCAGACGATTCTGGATGGGGTTCAGGGTTCCACCTATGGTCTTATCATTGCTACCTTCTTAAATGGCTGAATGAATGGCCCTGTGTATTCCTTCCAGCTTCTTTTCATGCTTCCTGTGCCATTCAGTTATTGTGCCCATGTTGTTATTGTTAAGCATCATCGAGTAGGGCTCAAATCACAGCAACCCATGCCCAGCAGAATGAAACCCTGCCTGCTCCTGAGCCATCCTTACAAACCGTGGCTGTATTAGGGCCCATTACTGCTGACACTTGCTGGGGGTCCTTCCTACTTACCACACATAATTCTCCTCCAGGGACTGACTCTCCATGGCAACAAGAGACCAAGTCTCGTCATCTCCTTCTAAGGAGGATTCTGACAATTCAGAGTACTTTCTATATTATCCATCAACACCGTAATTCAAATGCATCGATTCTTTTATGGTCTTCCTTATTCACTGTCAAACTTTTACATGCAGATAAGAAGACTGAAAATACCATGGCTTAGGTCAGTTCTAAAGTCCTCAAACTGACATCTTTGTTCTTTAACACTTCAAAGATGTTTTTTGCCTAATGCAACAAGTCATTTGATTTCTTTACTACTGCTTCCATAAGCATTGATATGGATCTAAGCAAACTCAAGTCATTTAAGTCACTGGCGATTTCAATATTTTCTCCATTTATCATGATGCTATTTATTGGTCCAACTGTGAGGATTTTTGTTTTCTTTACAATGAAGCGCAATCCATACTGAAGGCTGCAGTCTTTGATCTTCAGCAGTATTTCAGAAAGCAAGTCATCTGCATACTGTTAAAGAGTCTTCCTCCAGGGAACCCAGGTAGCATAATGGGTTACTAGCTGGGCTGCTAACCACAAGGTCAGCAATTCAAATCTACCAGCCGCTCTGCAGGAGAGAAAGATGAGACTCTATGATCCTGTAAAGACTGGCGGCCTTGGAAACCCTACACAGATTCCCTATGAGTTGGGACCAACTCCAAGGCATCCAACCACCACCATCACCAGAGTCTTTACTCCAGTCCTGATGGCCCATTCTTCTTCATATAATGCAGCTTCTCAGATGAGGGTAACCATGATGAAAAGATAAAACCCTGGCTCACACTTTTCCTGATCTTAAACCATTCAGTATCCCATTGTTCTGTCCTGACAACTGCCTAAGTTCCTCATGAGCACAATTTAGTGTTCTGGAATACCCATTCTTTGCAATGCTAGCCACAGTTTATTATCCACACGGTCAAATGCCTTTGCATAGTCAATAAAAACAAGTAAACATCTTTCTGGAAGTCTGTGCTTTCAGTCAAGATCCATCTGATGAATGCAATGAGATCCCCTAGTTCCACATCCTCTTCTGAATCCTATCTATCTCTGTTTTTGAATTATTGTCAGAAAAATTTACATGAGTGTAATATTATGATACTGTTTGATGACTTTCACATTCTGATGGGTTACCTTTCTTTGGAATAGGAACAAGAATGGATCTCTTTTCAATTTCCTCCAGTGCTGCATTAGTTTACTGAACTATTTCTACTTGTATTCCGCTCATTCCTATAGTCATGGTTTTGGCCAATGCCTTTAGAGCAGTACAGACTTCTTCCTTCAATACCATCAGTCCTTGATCACATGTGTGCCACCACTTGAAATGGCTGAACTTCAACCATTTCTTTTTGGAACAGTGAATGTATATTCTTTATATCTTCTTTTGAGGTCTTATGCATTATTCAATATTTTGCCCATTGTTGTTGTTGTTGTTGTTAAGGGCTGTCAAGTTGGTTCCGACCCATAGCAACCACGTATAGGGTTCCCGAGCAGCAGCTGTGAGCTTGAACCGCCAACCTTGCAGTTCAAACGGCTTTACAGTCTGGCGCATTAACCCACAGCGCCACACCAGGACTCCTTAGCTTGCCTATAGAATCCTTCAATATTGAAACTCGAAGCTTTAATTTTTTTTCCTTCAATTTAATGTGAGAAATGGTGAGCATCTTCTTTCCTTTTGGTTTTCTAACTTGAGGCTTTTGCACATTGAATTATAATGCTTGAGTCTGTCTTCTCAAGTTGCCCTTTGGAATTTTCTATATTGCTCTTTGAGTTCATTCTGTCCATGTAATTTAGCTTCTCTATGGTGTGTGTAGCACTGTGAGTTAATGAGCTGGACTGCAAAGTCGGTTTCAACAACAAAATTGGCGGTTCAAGCTCACCAGCTGCTCCTCGGAAACCCTATACAGGGTCTCTACGAGTCCAAACCGACTCAATGGCACTTAAAAACAACATGTTCAAGAGCAAGTTTCAGAGTCTCTTCTGACATCCATTATGATCTCTTCTTTCTTTCCTTATCTTTTTGATGACCTTTTTGCTTTATTCCTGTGTGTTCTTGATGTCATCCTACAACTCTTCTGGTCTTCGGTCACTAGTGTCTAATGTATCAAATCTGTTCTTGAGATGGTCTCTAAATTCAGGTGGGATATATTCAAGGTCATATTTTGTCTCTCAAGGACTAGCTTAAATTTTCTTCAACTTCAGCCTGAACTTAAAATACGAGCAGCTGATGATCTGTTCTGCAGTTGGTCCCCAGCCTTGTTTGGCTGATG